CGAATCTTGGCTTTTACAGTTCTATATTAATGATTATTCACTGTGGAGGCTCCTGTTGGCGCAGACTATCAAAGATATAGTTGATCATCCTATTTGGTTTACTCTCACATTGCAAAATTGCTAGAATGAGTGTTGTGATGGTATTGGCCTTATGTTATTTGCTGAAATAATCTTTTGATTAATGGTTAAGGGTGAGCACGGGTAGTGCTTTAGTCTAGAAAAAACATTTTCATTTTCAAGCATTGCAAATGATGAGGCAGTGAAATGTACTTTGCAACTTTACAGTAATTACATTTATAATTACACTTGAGTTTAGGCTGCCAGCCTTAATTCTAGTCATGGTGAATGACCACTACTTAATTTGTAGTCAATTTGCATTAGGTGAGCATGAGAAAATGAGGTGCTAATTATGGGGATGCAAATAAAAATCTTCGCTGTGATGAATGGAATTTCTTCTAGATGGGCATGTTATGTGTAAAACAGAAGACCTGGAATGAGATGATCACATGTGCAGTGGGAAATCTATAGTTGCTTCATCTTCACTAGTGGATCTGAAATAATTAAGGGAAAAAAGAAATGTAAGGAAATCTTTATGATAAATTTTCACTCAGACAATCTGCTATCAAAAGTTCTGGAAATAAATTTGCAATGACTGTAGAGTGAATAGTTTTACCATAAGAGGATGATTAAATGATACAAGTTAGCAATTGTATATTTTTGTTTTGGGATGTAACTGTGGTAGATTCTACTAGGTGGAATGACCATGGAGAATGGATGGAGAAAAACCTGGCATAATGCATAAACATTCTCTTTTCTTTATTTTTAAAATTTCCTTGCATTTGTATGGTTCCTGAGTTTCTTCTGATTGTTAAGTCATCCGTAAGCAATAATTTAGTTTCCACATCTTTGCGGACTTCAGCCTTGAGCTAGAAATGGTTTGTGATTTTTTTGATTCTGAAATCTGCATATCCTAATAGCTTAATTCACGATTTCTTGTTTCTCCGCTCTTATCAGTTGTCTCCCTATGCTGTTGATTGATATACAAGAGAACTGTCTATTTATTTTTTATTTTTACGTTTGGTTGATTTCTATGATAACATTAATTCAAATTTTCAATCAAGTGTTGATTCCTCATTGTTCTGCATGTTAGTATATATATATATATATATATATATATATACAGAGTCATGTGTATATGAGCAAGTAAAATGTCTTGTCCTAAGCAATGGCTGTTCAAGATCATTATGCGAAGGGACTATGTCTTATTGGCTATTCTTTAGAACCAGCATCGACAATAGTGTTTTTTACGTTGTTGCATGATAACCCACAAATTCTTAGTTTTTTTTTCTTCCTTTTAACTCTAGGTGAACACTTCAAAACCAAGCTAACTTAAATGGATTTTTGAGGTTGTTATTTCTGAATTTGCATTTGTAGTTGAACCCATTTCCATGAAAATTCAGAAATAGCTAATGGATGATTAAGTTCTAGAATATTTAAAATGATTAATTTTGAGGTGTACAACTTATTTTAACACTGAGTTACTGGTTCTGACACATAAATTCTATTGGATTATTATTTATTTTACTTGCATGTTGAATTTAGTTAATGGCTTAGTTGTTAAATCTTAGTTGCTGCTTGTGTGTTATTTTAATCTATAGTTGTTCAATCTAGTTGCTGCTTGTGTATCATTTCAATCTTTTACTTTATGAAATACATCTGTGGAGTCCTTCTTGAAACTTTCTTTATTCATTTAATTTATGTTTCATTTGTAGTGGTAGACTGGAAAGTACTTAGATTGGAGTAGTTAAATTTTAAGTCTTTGGGTTTTAATCTCTGCTTTTGCTCTACCTTGTTTCTCAAAGGTGCTTTAAGTATTTTGCTGGCTAATTAAATGAGAGCAACAATAGATTTCTTTCCATTCTAATGTTGATTCATTATCTGGTACGTTTTCTTTGAATGACCTGATCTTCCTGTATTTCGTTAACTTCCTTTTCCTTCCCTTCTATTCAGACTAGAGTTTTATGTGGTTGCTGTTTTCCAAGTATAACCTTTTGAAACAATTTAGTCTACATTCAGCATGAGGGCAACCCTTTGAATAACGTGGTACTGCTGCACATTCGTTTTGTGGATTCATGGCTGACGATGCTTTGACTGTACCTGATGCTTCATTTAGTTTGGCAGAACAAACTTTAGCTATTGTCAAGAATTTCCTGAGTTGAAACTTGCAGAAGAACATTGAAAGATATTGCTATAGCACTACATTTCGATCTACGATAGTTAAATCAGATCGCAGCCGATTTATAGCCAAGTGCTCCAAAGAAGGTTGTCCATGGCGTGTTCATGTGGCAAAATGTCCTGGAGTTCCAACCTTTTCAATTAGAACCCTGCATGGAGAGCATACCTGTGAAGGAGTTCGGAACCTCCATCATCAACAAGCATCTGTGGTTGGGTTGCAAGATCAGTGAAGCACGCATTCGGGATAATCCACAGTACAAACCAAAGGAAACCTGCAAGATATCCGTGATCAGCATGGAGTTGCTGTGTCCTATATGCAAGCTTGGCGCGGGAAGGAGCGTAGCATGCTGCACTTCATGGGACTTTTGAAGAAGGATATCGCCTTCTGCCTGCATACTGTGAGCAGATAAGAAAACCAACCCAGGAAGCATTGCGTCAGTTTTTGCTACTGGACAAGACAATTGTTTCCAGCCTCTTTGTTTCTTTTGCCGCATCAATCTATGGGTTTATTAATGCTTGTAGCCACTTTTGGAGCTGACAAAGCACACCTAAAAGGAAAATACTTAGGTACAATACTTTGTGCTGCAGCTGTTGATGCCGATGATGCATTATTTCCTTTGGCAATTGCTATTGTTGATGTGGACAGCGATGAAATTGGATGTGGTTCATGTCAGAATTGCGAAACTTCTTGGATCAATACGGACAACATGCCTAGACTAACAATACATCAGAAAGACAAAGGGGCATGGTAGAGGCAGTAGAAACACATTTTCCAAGTGCTTTTCGGTTTTTGTCTACGTTATTTAGTGAAAATTTTCGTGACACATTTAAGACACACAAGTTTGAATATCTTCTGGAATGCTGTTATCACTTACAACAGTTGAATTCGAAACTAAAATCTCTGAGATGGTAGAGATCACCCAATGTGATACCATGGTTTCAACAATTCCCTCCTCAACTTTGGGCTATTGCATATTTTGAAGGGGTGCGGTATGACATTTTACGCTTGGTGTCACGGAGTTGTTATATCATTGGGCACGGAATGTCATGAACTCCCTATTGTGCAAATGGTGGAACATATTCGCCATCAGTTAGCATCTTGGTTTAATACTCGTCGTGATATGGGCATGAGGTGGGCTTCTATTCTTGTACCATCTACTGAGAACAGATTTTAGAGGCAATTGCCGATGCTCGTTGCTATCAAGTTCTTCGTGCAAATGAAGTCGAGTTTGAAATTGTATCGACTGAACGAACAAATATTGTAGATATACGAACCGTGTGTGCTCATGTCGCCGTTGGCAACTCTATGGTTTACTTTGCGCACTCTTTGGTGTTTTGTGTTGTGCACTCTTCTTTTAGGTTTAAGGTTTTTTTTAGCTGTAGATGACATGGAGAAGTACCCTTTTATATCTTAATATAGAAGGCTACTTCTATATGACTTTTTCTGAAATACAAATCAATTATGAATTTTTCTTAGGAGATACAAACTCATAAGATTTTTCTATACCAATCCTCTTCAAAACCAGTGTTCTAAAACCCGACTTGGGGTGTCACCTAGCCAAGGTACCGATTCTTGGGTTGAAATGTCCGACATGTTAAATGATGATCTAACTGGTGATCTAACAAGTTTGAAATCTAACAAACACGCCTCTTGATAAAATACCATCAGTCCCTACAAGTTTGAAATCCAACAAACACACCCATATGATCTAATCGTATAATTAGGGTTACACTTTTCTAGGCCAAATTTCGACTGATTCTAATGACAAAAATTCAATCCAACACCACCACCTGAAACACCGCTTCCACTCTACAAAACTCCTCTAACCTCGACACTTGGTAATCCTTTGTTCGTTGGCCGTGACTTGCGTATGCTGCCGCGATTGGGTTGATTTTTCTAGCCAAATTTTGGTTGATTCCGCCGTCCAAAATTGACCACCACATGAACCACCGGCCTTCACTTTCCAAAGACTTGTTTGCTACTTGCTACGAATATACTACAAGTTGACTTGTTTTGGTTCTTCACTATTGCAAACCCCTATTTGAACTTAATATTTTACCACCTAAAAACACTATAATGAGCCACCATACATTATATGTAAAGAGGAAAAAAAAAGAGAGATACATTTCTTTATTTAAAAAGCTTAAATAATGAATAGTAAAATAAGTAAAATCTATTTACAATTACTTATCTATGTTTTGTTTTATTTTGATAGAAGATGTCAATTATTGTAAAGGCTAGATAGTAGAACAAGACAAATGTTTTTTTATTGATTACACACACTTTTATCTAATACATTGTTATCACGTATGTGTTCAGAATAATAAAAGAGAAAATAAACACATATATGATATATTTTTATCATAAACAATGCAATATTTTATACCCTAAGTTATATTTATTTTTATGTGACATTAATATGTAATAATGTATTGCCTTATAAGTGATATAATATAAAATGTTACTTACATATTTCAATATTAAAACAAATTAATTTATTCCTTATTATATATAATATAATCATTTTACTGTATAAGAAAATATCATATAACACATTTGACATCTCTAATTATATATATATATATATAAAGGCCAAAAAAGTGATGTGATGTCAAAAAGAAGTTGGTTACCAACTAAAAGGGGACGTAAATTAGTTTATATTTATATTCACTCTCAAGGGGTCCTATCGCAAGAAAACCAAACCTTGAGGGTAAAAATGAAAATAAAAGAAACTAGCATATCTAAAATGGTGGCTTTGTAGATTATCGAAGAAAACAATCACAGACAGAGAAAGAAAAAGTCTGTTCGGTCCACACCCAATTGCCCGAACCTTCAAAGCTTACAACGACTGAAGAAACCAGCACGAAACGGCCATACCCTCTTGCAAGGTTCTTCTCAAAATACCCAGAAATTATTATTTAAAGCTTATGAATGTTTATATTCAATGTTTTTTATGTTTATAATGTTGAAATGTAAGGTTCTAAGGCCTTGAAATGAGTCTCATAGTACAAGAATTTAATCTTTTTTGGACTTTATTTTGGATAAAATTTGTGGGTTTGGTTTGTTTATGTGAATTCTTGAGTTTTCGTCCATGGATCCGCTTGTTGAATTGTGGGTTTTCCTTGGAATTTAGTGTTTTTCTTTATTTGGGATGCTGGTTTATGTTGAGTTTTGTTTAATTTTTTTTATGAAAAGTGAAATGGTGAGGGATTTTGTTTGTTGGGTTTTGTATTTTAGTTTTTGGAAATCAAGTGTAGTTGCATTTAGCTAGTTTCAGCATAGGGCCCTAGTGATTTGAAAACACTTGTGATTAACGAAAATGCGTACCAACTATTTGAAGTAATTATGTTTCTGAGAATTTTGAACTTGCCCATGTTTAAAACTGAAGAGCTTAGCTTGTAATTTGTAGCTTTCCAATTCTATATTTTCTTTTAGAATTTGGGGTTTTGGTCTTTGTAAGCCAGTTTAGATAAAGGTGGGATCTTTAGAGCTCAAGCACTGTGTTCAAACCAAAAATTAAGAAAACACTTTTGTTGTTGTTTGATTAGGTTAGGGTTTTGAATTAGCATATGTAGCAGTTCCTAACATCGTTGGCTCTAATCAAAGATTTATGGCAGAGAGATATGTACTATCTTGGGCATTTTTGAGATATTTAAATAGCTATTCCTTGGATTTGCACCAGTGGATGCCACTCTTTCACAGTTATGAGTTATTGTAAGTGTTTCCCTTGGACAAAGGAAGTTTAGGTGTTAGTCTTAGAAATCCGTATTCAACAAAGAGATGATTTGGATTTTGTGCTTTAGTCTAGAAAAAAACATTTTCATTTTCAAGCATTGCAAATGATGAGGCAGTGAAATGTACTTTGCAACTTTACAGTAATTACATTTATAAATTACACTTGAGTTTGAGGCTGCCAGCCTTAATTCTAGTCATGGTGAATGACACTACTTAATTTGTAGTCAATTTGCATTAGGTGAGCATGAAGAAAATGAGGTGCTTAGAATTATGGGGATGCAAATAAAAATCTTCGCTGTGATGAATGGAATGATCTTCTAGATGGGCATGTATGATGTAAAACAGGAGACCTGGACAATGAGATGATCACATGTGCAGTGGGGAAATCTATAGTTGCTTCATCTTCACTAAGTGGATCTGAAATAATTAAGGGAAAAAAGAAATGATAAGGAAATCTTTATGATAAATTATTCAACTCAGACAATCTGCTATCAAAAGTTCTGGGAAATAAATTTGCAATTGACTGTAGAGTGAATAGTTTTACCATAAGAGGATGATTAAATTGATAACAAGTTAGCAATTGTATATTTTTGTTTTGGGATGTAGACTGTGGTAGATTCTACTAGGTGGAATGAACCATGGAGAATGGATGGAGAAAAACCTGGCATATATGCATAAACATTCTCTTTTCTTTTATTTTTAAAATTTCCTTGCATTTGTATGGTTCCTGAGTTTCTTCTGATTGTTAAGTCATCTCCGTAAGCAATAATTTAGGTTTCCACATCTTTGCGGACTTCAGCCTTGAGCTAGAAATGGTTTGTGATTTTTTTGATTCATGAAATCTGCATATCCTAATAGCTTAATTCACGATTTCTTGTTTTCCGCGTCTTTATCAGTTGTCTCCCTATGCTGTTGAGTTGATATACAAGAGAACTGTCTATTTAATTTTTTATTTTTACGTTTGGTTGATTTCTATGATAACAGTAATTCAAATTTTCAATCAAGTGTTGATTCCTCATTGTTCTGCATGTTAGTATGTATATATATATAACAGAGTCATGTGTATATGAGCAAGTAAAATGTCTTGTCCTAAGCAATGGCTGTTCAAGATCATTATGCGAAGGGACTATGTCTTATTTGGCTATTTCTTTAGAACCAGCATCGCACAATAGTTGTTTTTACGTTGTTGCATGATAACCCACAAATTCTTAGTTTTTTTTTCTTCCTTTTAACTCTAGGTGAACACTTCAAAACCAAGCATAACTTAAATGGATATTTTGAGGTTGATTATTTCTGAATTTGCATTTGTAGTTGAACCCATTTCCATGAAAATTCAGAAATAGCTAATGGATGATTAAGTTCTAGAATATTTAAAATGATTAATTTTGAGGTGTACAACTTATTTTAACACTGAGTTACTGGTTCTGACGCATAAATTCTATTGGATTATTTATTTATTTTACTTGCATGTTGAATTTAGTTAATGGCTTAGTTGTTAAATCTTAGTTGCTGCTTGTGTGTTATTTTAATCTATAGTTGTTCAATCTAGTTGCTGCTTGTGTATCATTTCAATCTTTTACTTTATGAAATAAGCATCTGTGGAGTCCTTCATTGAAAGCTTTCTTTATTCATTTAATTTATGTTTCATTTGTAGTGGTAGGACTGGGAAAAGTACTTAGATTGGAGTAGTTAAATTTTAAGTCTTTGGGGTTTTAATCTCTGCTTTTGCTCTACCTTGTTTCTCAAAGGTGCTTTAAGTATTTTGCTGGCTAATTAAATGCAGAGCAACAATAGATTTCTTTCCATTCTAATGTTGATTCATTATTCTGGTACTGTTCTTTGAATGACCTGATCTTCCTGTAATTTACGTTAACTTCCTTTTCCTTCCCTTCTATTTCAGACTAGAGTTTTATGTGGTTGCTGTTTTCCAAGTATAACCTTTTGAAACAAATTTTAGTCTACATTCAGCATGAGGGCAACCCTTTGAATAACGTGGTACTGCTGCACATTCGTTTTGTGGATTCATGGCTGACGATGCTTTGACTGTACCTGATGCTTCATTTAGTTTGGCAGAACAAACTTTAGCTATTGGTCAAGAATTTCCTGATGTTGAAACTTGCAGAAGAACATTGAAAGATATTGCTATAGCACTACATTTCGATCTACGGATAGTTAAATCAGATCGCAGCCGATTTATAGCCAAGTGCTCCAAAGAAGGTTGTCCATGGCGTGTTCATGTGGCAAAATGTCCTGGAGTTCCAACCTTTTCAATTAGAACCCTGCATGGAGAGCATACCTGTGAAGGAGTTCGGAACCTCCATCATCAACAAGCATCTGTGGGTTGGGTTGCAAGATCAGTGGAAGCACGCATTCGGGATAATCCACAGTACAAACCAAAGGAAATCCTGCAAGATATCCGTGATCAGCATGGAGTTGCTGTGTCCTATATGCAAGCTTGGCGCGGGAAGGAGCGTAGCATGGCTGCACTTCATGGGACTTTTGAAGAAGGATATCGCCTTCTGCCTGCATACTGTGAGCAGATAAGGAAAACCAACCCAGGAAGCATTGCGTCAGTTTTTGCTACTGGACAAGACAATTGTTTCCAGCGCCTCTTTGTTTCTTTTCGCGCATCAATCTATGGGTTTATTAATGCTTGTAGGCCACTTTTGGAGCTTGACAAAGCACACCTAAAAGGAAAATACTTAGGTACAATACTTTGTGCTGCAGCTGTTGATGCCGATGATGCATTATTTCCTTTGGCAATTGCTATTGTTGATGTGGACAGCGATGAAAATTGGATGTGGTTCATGTCAGAATTGCGAAAACTTCTTGGAGTCAATACGGACAACATGCCTAGACTAACAATACTATCAGAAAGACAAAGGGGCATGGTAGAGGCAGTAGAAACACATTTTCCAAGTGCTTTTCATGGTTTTTGTCTACGTTATATTAGTGAAAATTTTCGTGACACATTTAAGAACACAAAGTTGGTGAATATCTTCTGGAATGCTGTTTATGCACTTACAACAGTTGAATTCGAAACTAAAATCTCTGAGATGGTAGAGATCACCCAAGATGTGATACCATGGTTTCAACAATTCCCTCCTCAACTTTGGGCTATTGCATATTTTGAAGGGGTGCGGTATGGACATTTTACGCTTGGTGTCACGGAGTTGTTATATCATTGGGCACTGGAATGTCATGAACTCCCTATTGTGCAAATGGTGGAACATATTCGCCATCAGTTAGCATCTTGGTTTAATGCTCGTCGTGATATGGGCATGAGGTGGGCTTCTATTCTTGTACCATCTACTGAGAAGCAGATTTTAGAGGCAATTGCCGATGCTCGTTGCTATCAAGTTCTTCGTGCAAATGAAGTCGAGTTTGAAATTGTATCGACTGAACGAACAAATATTGTAGATATACGAAGCCGTGTGTGCTCATGTCGCCGTTGGCAACTCTATGGTTTACCTTGTGCTCATGCTGCTGCTGCGCTCCTTTCTTGTGGTCAAAACGTCCATCTATTTGCTGAGCCCTGTTTCACGGTTGCAAGTTATCGAGAGACCTATTCACAGGTGATAAATCCCATTCCAGATAAGAGCCGATGGAAAGAGCTGGGTGAGGGAGCTGAAGGGGGAGGTGCTAAGCTCGATATCTCAATACGCCCTCCCAAAACTCGCCGGCCACCTGGCAGGCCCAAAAAGAAGGTTCTCCGTGTAGAAAACTTTAAGCGCCCTAAGAGAATTGTTCAATGTGGTCGCTGCCATTTGTTAGGTCATTCTCAAAAGAAATGCACAATGCCAATTTGACACTAAATTAGATTGCCAGATTTTTTTTCTTTAGTTTTTTGTTATTTTGAAATTTGAATAGAATCAATGTTGTGTTTGTAATCTTAATGTATGTTTTCACTATTTAGTTGCAAAATAAGGATGCATCCTTTTTGGCATAGTGTTTCTCTTTTTGTCTTGTGCATATGGTGGCAGCTTGTTTTTTGTTTTGCTGTTCTGTCTCCAAAAACATAATTAAATCCTCTGCATCTCGTTAGAAATTTGTTTTCTATTATCTTTCTGTGGTATGCAGTATATTCGTAATCATGAAGGGTAAAAAATGTGATTTTTTTTTTTGTCAGTTCTTTGTAGAAAATTTTCTGATCATCCATTTTGTTATTTAAGGCAATAGTCTCCTGACGATTATTGAAGTTCCAGAAATTTCTTATTTTTTGGTTAATTTCAATGCTACTTTAAGTTTCTTGCTTGATCTGTGACAAATATTTGATTTGACATGCAAGAAGTAGATCTGTAGTCTCATGGGAACCAGCGAGAAGTGTAATCAAGCATGTTCCGAATTCTGAAGTGGAACAATATGGTAGAGTGAATGATCTTTGTGAGGTTTTGTGCATCCTAAACTTATTATATTTAGTTTTCATTAGCTGTCTGATGTACCAACAATTTTACTTTTCTTTTTAGACAGGTTCAATGTTTATGCATGTCTTAAATGACAGTCATGCAGTCACAGCTCAGGCAACGATTAAGGACCTCCTGTTCAATTTTAATGCAACAGCACTCAGTTGGTACTGTTCCCTATTTCTCCTAGTTGAACTATATTCTGGTTATTAGATGTTGGTCCATAGCAGTATGTCAGTATTTGCTTATTAAAAATTAATTTTTATGCTATTCATTCTTGTTGGATATGGTTTAAAGACTTGATGAAAAAGAAACATTTCTTTTAGAAGTGTCTAGCCAAGTTGCATTGTTCAAGTTGTGCGACTAAGTTATATTAAGTTTTGTGTTGATTCTGTTCCTTTTGGTATACCAGTTAGATCCTGTGGTGGAAGTTGCATAACCTATAAAATTAATGTTCTTTCATTGAGTCTTACGTGGCATATGAAGTCGATCTTTTTCCACTGGGCCTTAGTTTAACTATTGAAGGGACAGGATGGGATGGGGTAGGTTTAAATTCTGATTTTTTCAATCAAAGTGATTCATGTAAGCTTAATTCAGGTGCTATCATTTCTTTTGTTTTCTAGTAACATAATCATTGGTTAGAATTATATGGTTATCATTTTGACAAAATTTAATGCCTTTTATTGGTGATGCACCCTTTTTCATGTATCTTATTTTTCTATTCAGAAAAATGGATTTTGGCAGAAACGGTGTGCATATTGAGAGAATGTTTTATGATATGGCTTTTAGGCTTGTTGCAAGCAAGCATAAGTCTCAGCAGTTTGCTATAACTAAGGTGCCATCATTGAAAGTGAGCGATGATATGGTGATGCACAAGCCGAATAGGCAACTATTTCTCAAGGCTTGTTTCTTTCTTTGTGATAAGATTATCTTTAGCCTGCCTAATTGATTAGATCTCATCCTCACTTGTAATGCTGTTGGTGGTACTTGTCTTTACTTTTCACAATTCTATTTTCTTCCCTTAGTTCACGATGGATTAGAGCTGTTACCTTGTAATTTGCAGCTAATCTGATGTTCAACAGATTTCAACACCCCAAAGTCAGTAGTAAGAGAAATCTGTTTTGGTTTATCCGTCAGAACACCATTTTGGATGGTGATTTGACCTGTTTTGATTATAAACATGCAAGCGCAGACGAACTAGCGAAAAGGTTCACTCCATAGGTGTGCTCGAAAAGTCATAAGTGAGGGACAGAAATATGTGCAGGAGTGATGTGGCTTAATGTGCATAACTTGGATCCGATGTGTTGGCTTGTCTAACCTTGTTCTCTGGTAAAATTCACCACACGAATCTTGGCTTTTACAGTTCTATATTAATGATTATTCACTGTGGAGGCTCCTGTCGGCGCAGACTATCAAAGATATAGTTGATCATCCTATTTGGTTTACTCTCACATTGCAAAATTGCTAGAATGAGTGTTGTGATGGTATTGGCCTTATGTTATTTGCTGAAATAATCTTTTGATTAATGGTTAAGGGTGAGCACGGGTAACGGATAGAACCGGAACTTATGGATAGAACTGGAACCGAAATCTACCTGGAACCAATACTGTGCAAGTAGGTTCCAATTCCATTTTATTGGAACCGACACTGTGCGATTCTGATTTCGGTTCATATAGGTTTTGGAACCGAAACCGGAATCGGCAAAAAGAACTTGAAGTGCTTATTCTGCTTTGAACCTATTTGTATTTTGGTTTTGATTGAGAAATTTTATGTGAATTGTGATTAATTGATTAAATTCAAATGTTGCCTAGAGATTAGAGGATTTATGAGTCACATTAAACACAAATGAATGAGTAATCAAAAGTTGAAAACTATTACACGTAGGTTTTCTTAATTTGTTAGGAGTATATTCGTAAACTTGTAAGGTATTTTTGTCATTTTTTAAATTAATAGAGGGATAATTATTTTTTATAGGGTACCCGAGTAAGGAACCGGATTCGGTTCTTTTTTGTGAGAATATACACTGTGGATTCTAGTTCTGGTTTTCCTGAAAAATATAAGGTACTAAGAACCGCTCACCCCTATTAATGGCATTATTCTTTCTTACTTTCCGGGTTTTACTAGTAATTTGATAATGAATGGCAAGAAAGTCAATTGTGCATGAGTATTTTCCATTAAGTATTGTTGCTTGCTCAATTCAGTCTGACTAGAATTACTGAGATTTATCAAGGTTTATTAAAACAGGCTGTCGTTACAATCAGGGACCTTGGATTGAAGACACAACAATCCAGAATGTAATGTTGACATATACGAGTACTAAAAGGTATCAAAATTTGGATTCATAATCTAATTGGATAGGTGCATATGCATCCGTCTTGCTCTTACTGGAAAATGAAACCTCTCTAGACTAGTAATTCAACAGTTGTTATATCATCACGTCTTAGATCAGACATACCAACATTTGGATTCTTCAATCATAGAATAAACATTAGTGTAATTTAAAGTTTTAAACCGTATAGCAATAGAAAACCAAAATTTTGTTAAATGAAATCTACAAGATTAGTACTATGCAATTCGGCATCTTTTCAGCCATTGTTTTCCTGAAAGCTTCTCTTCATTGATTCTATAATTTTTAAGTTGACAAGTATCCTAAATGGAAAAGAAAACAAAAAAGAAAAGAACAATATTGCAGCAATTAGACTCCTTTCAAGCATGCTTCAAGTTGAGAGATGAATGGAATATGTATGAGCACAAAGACCCAAATAAATATTCTTGCGCAATGGGCTTCATTGAGAGCTAGCAAAGTTCATCATATCAACTCTAGTTGAACATATCGGGAAGGGGTCTCACCGCCATGAATGCATCGACCATCTGAAAGACAATACCAAGAAAATTATGACCAATGCGATCAATTTACATACTTTCCATTAATTCATCATCTTCTAGGTTCAACATCTAGATGCATTTACATAATGCCTCTATATATTAAACCTGGTCACATTATTATTACGGAATATCATTCAATTAACATATCCAAGTAGCTTACCTCATCAGTCACTGCAGCCCGAGCCCTCTGATGTCTTTCAACCATTTCAGTTAAAACTCTAGTAAGGATTTGCTTAACTTCCCCAGTTAGCATGCGACCCGCACCATATTCCTAAAAGAGGAACAAGCATTTGGTTCTTATCCATGTTGCTTATGAACATTTTATATATGGGAGATTTTCTTTCATACAAAGTAGTATAAATCCTCATCAGGGAATTAAAGTAATTAAATAGAGACAAAAATCTCACCGTTTTTATGCGTTCGAGTTCTGCATCATCATCTAGGAAAAAGCTTAGGTATTTAACTGGTATATCAACCTGGATGATATAAAAAATGAAATTAATGTTTAATCACAATATCATTGAACTCCGTAACATATCAAACAATTGCAAGGAATTGCAGAATCAGCACACACCATTTATCAAAGCCAAATAAAAGGAAACAGAAAGATAAGGAGAATCTCTCTTTTTTTTTTTTTTTTTTTTTTTTTTTTTTTTCATTTTTTCCTTTTCCTCTTTTGGTCCTTTTGCTAATAATAAATACAACAGTCTGGTGAATGAACTATAAGTAAAATCTATAACAAGCATGGGAAAAACAAACTAAGAATAGAAGTGAAGAATAAACAATTACCACCATTATTTTCCCAGTAACACCGTGTATATCTAAAATTCTGATGCCACACAAAGATAAAGAAATAAATAAAGACGAACAACAGATTTAGTACCTCAAGATTTGCCCCAAGCTTTCAATGTAGCTCAATAGTTTCTCGACCACCAGAGAATGCATACTTGTTTACCTACAGAAATCAGCACAAATCATTATTAGTGATGCATATACAAAACCAATTAGCAGTTGTAGCTTACTAGATCTGAATAATTTCTCAACATTCATGTATACTCTCAACCAGCTGCATAATCTTCAAGCTAAAGTTCACATCAATTTACAAAATATTTTGTCCAAACAACTATTAAGGCCTAGCACAGCTTGAGCCTTGAAACAACTAAAAAAATCTAAAATCAATTAAAGGTAAAAAGAGACATCGCATGTTACGAACGAAATGGAACTAAGATCCAATGTTCACATTCATTTATCTTAAATTAGACAAGAACTAGTTGAATTAATCCCACCCCAATGACATTGAATGGGTAAAATAAGCTATCAGGTTTCAGAATTAAACCTTATCCTTAATTATCTTCCCAGAATCAGTCACATAAATTGCAGAACTAGCATCAGTAGCTGACATCTTTCCTGTTTCCCCCTGCATATATCCAGTTAAATAANGGGGATTAAAAGATAACGCCCACAAAAGAAAATATCCAATAAAGAGAGAACCATCTCGTGTAATTTGATTCATACTCATACACCTACATAAAGTATCAATGGACATACGCTTTGTTTATCTTCTAGTCTGAACCACTTTAAAAATACATTGTTCTCACATATCATTTTCTAGAAGGCACACCATTGTCACGATCATCATCATGCATGGGTTAATCCATCTTCATTGATTCTCAAGAGCCACGCACCCATCTTACTCGATTTTTGCCTTGGTCAATCGATTATCTCTTGTTGATACGAATTCTAGTCTCGAAATTTTAGTCAGTATGGAATTTCGCATCAACATTTTGACGCTAGAAGAAGGGCCTCCAGCCTTGAAAGTTTCGATCGAAGCCCATTTCAGTGCCAACTGCCACCGTTACCAATTGGTTCACCTGCCAAGCAAAGGTGCACAACTCTTGGTCATGATGGCCACCAAGCCTACATTTCGACCCGAATCGGTCGGAGACCCTCTCGATCCACATATGCACAAGGACAACCCTCCTACTAGCTCAGTTGAAGAATTGCACGAGATCCCCATTGACAAACGATTCCCCATCTGCGCTTTTAGAATCAGGAGTAATCTCGAAGTGGAGAGTTGATCGCCTTCCTTAAGGAAAATCTAGATGTCTTCACTTGGGAACACATAGACATGGTAGGAAAAGACCCCGAACTCATGTGTCACAAGCTCAACATCGACCTTGAAGTCCAACCTATTCGCTAAAAATGGAGAGCGATGGATGTAGAGCGGCCTAGAGAGCTCAAAGTGGAGGCCAAAAGGCTCCTCGGGATAAAATCTAAAATCAATTAAAGGTAAAAAGAGACATTGCATGTTACAAACGAAATGGAGCTAAGATCCAATGTTCATATTCATTTATCTTAAATTAGACATGTACTAGTTGAATTAATCCCACCCCAATGACATTGAATGGGTAAAATGAGCTATCAGGTTTCAGAATTAAACCTTATCATTAATGACCTTCCCAGAATCAGTCACATAAATTGCAGAACTAGCATCAGTAGCTGACATCTTCCCTGTTTCCCCCTGCATATATCCAGTTAAATAAGAGATGAGTCTATGACTTTAGAACAGCAAATCTAAGTTATACAACATAGGAAAATTCATGTCATATAAAGAAAAAGATTGGATCCAGTAAACTTGAGTCAAAATATATTTTCCATATATGCACTGGGGCAAATATGCCCTATGTAAAACAAAATTATGAATACCATAAACACCATATAATATTTATTTAAAATACCGCTCATTAATTGGAAAGTCATGCTGTCTACAGTGTATATATATATATATATGATCAATCTGCATCAATTACCATAAAAATTCTATATCTAAACACAAGAGTACCTGCAAGGCAAGGAAGAACAATGATTCGATCAACGCTGGCTTGTGATATCCTATCCGGGGAGCAACATCTCATGTAATTCTGAAGTAAGGATCCTGAACAAAACAATATGATGAAATACGAGCAAGAATAGAAGACACATATAACCAAATAAAAAAAAAAAAAAAAAAAAAATGAAGAGACAAGCTATATAATAAATGTATAAAAACATTACCAATGGTAATTGTACCAGACACTTTCATCCCTATATAAGAAGATGGTTCACCACAAATGTTCTAGAAAAATGGTATGAGTACTAAAACTACTGACATTTCATGATGAATGGTGAAGATTATATAAATTTAATGGAAAGATTTTCCTATAGCAACAATCAAGCAAAGAGTTATCTGTTACATAACTAGATTATGATCCAAGTTCAATGTATATAGAGTAATTATATGATCAAAAGTAAATTCAATAAGAAATAAGTCTGAAAGATAGGACTCTTACCTGGTCAATGACACAAGGAATTAAGCAACAAAGGTGATCTTTGCCCGAAAAAAGGTGTGGGAAAGAACTGGGAAACGATGGAACTGCCTGCGCTAATCCGAAATGAAGCACAGAGGTATATAATTGTGGTATTTGACACTGAAAAGAATTGTAACCAGTAAAGTGGCATCAATATACCTGCACAGGCGGAAAACTAACTTTTCCAATATGATCTTCACCAGTGAAACCAAATATGCCAACAACCTAAATAACAGCAGCAGACTGATTAGTACTATAGCACAAAAGAACAGGAATTACAGAAAGGACATACAAAAGAAAAAAAGTAAATCTGGAAAACAAAATGGTTTTTGCAGAAAAAAAAAAGGAAATGTCAAACATAATTACTTTATTATACGTGACAAACTTGGCAACCTTCACCATGTTTTTGTAGAAGGCACTGCAAAACAAATTTTAGTACAATATCAATAAGGAAACAAAAAAGATGAAATAAGTATGATAGCATAATCCAGGAAAGGTTTGGGAAAATGCTCGAGAGTTGATGCAATATTAAGCCAAATTAACAGCCAAACAGATCAATAATAGGATTTTTAATTTTGCAGTTAAGCAAAATTAACAAGGATACTTATCCCAGTAAAAGATGCCTGGCAATAATTCACCATTCAATTCCAAGATATGGTGTTCAATTCTGCCGCTTAAATCACAGACTTAACATACCAGTATTGATTTCCACATTTTTTTTTTTCCCTAAAAATCCCATATATAAAAGTTATGTACACACAAACAGCATTGAATCTTTTTTTTTTTTTTTTTTTCCTTCTAAAAATCCCATATCTAAAAGTTATGTACACACAAACAGCATTGAATCTGAAGCTCAATACAATAGTTTCACTAGCTAAAACGTAAATGTTAGAATATGAGATCCAGACTACCTCATTCTATCTATTCCCAAGAAAAAATACTCCAATACCTATTTTCAGTACATATACTACCAACTCAAGCACTCCACTACCTTAGCATAATGTATCACTTAACAGCCTGCACTAGTATATTCCCATACCATATAGCATCCTTAAGAATCAGGATTTCATTTTCATATGATTACCGAGTCAGATACAAGACTTAAAAGACAAAACCCTTTAGGTGGCAGGCTTGGTTGCGAGGTGATTTCTTGTTTACAGAAAGCTTAGAAGGCAATATTAAACTTGAATGTAGCCAAAAGCTTATTACCAAACCCAGGTTGCCATCAATACTCTCTAGCATTTTCACATGACAATAATCCTCCAGTCGTTATCACACCCTCATACTGGTTCAAAATTTCTGTCCACAAATGGCTAAGCCATTTCTAAAAGTCATAAACTCCTAAAAAAATCTAACATTAGTATCTTAAGTTTTAGACTGAAGTTTGCTGGGTCATCAACTAGGTCAAAATTATAAATATAAATTCCAAAACCATCGAAAAACGTACATACATTCAATCACTCACCCACCAACATAATCAAAATCTGAGAAGATGAAGGTTTTTGTTATGTCAAAACCACAAGCAATAATGTCTTTTGCATTCTCCCGGGCAAGTCTCTGGCTCTCCTAAATAGAAAGATTTTTCCACATGCACTGTTCATCATCCGTAAGTTGTATAACAAGAGGAACTTTAAAGGCATCTTACAAATATCTGCAAGCAATATTACACATTGACCATAAGTCAGAAGCAAAAAAATAAAAATAGAGACTGCAAGAGTTGGTTCAGGTAAAAAGATAATAGATTCCCTTTGTGGGTCGTAGCACAGAAAAAAAAAAAAAAAAACCTAAAGTAAAATAGACAATTAAAAGGGCTTCACAAGTTCAATCCCTTCTGATTAGCCATAACAAGTGCAAATTAACAAGATTTTAAAACAATCATCAATACAAATGCAGCTCTTATTCTTAAAAATTAAAACTACCAAAAAAGAAAAAAAGTCAGCATTGATTTTCGTGTTTTGAAGAATTACCAATAAAAATTCCTGTGGTTATCTACATTCTCAAAAGCATTCGTTCGGTTGCCACTGAAGATTCCCAAAAAAACATCAATTCAATTGATAGCATATCCAAATTCCAATCTCAAAACAATTTTATAAATCACCGATTTTCCAACACAACACACTTAAATTCCATCCATCAGAACAACAAAAATAGAAGCAAGCACTTCACCACAAAATTCAATTAAAATAATTTCCTTAGTAAACACATTTGTGCTGAAGTTTAATTCAACGCATGAAAAACTTTACTTACATTACTTCAATTTCCATCATTCAATAAAACAAACCCATCAAATAATTATAAAAAAATTCAAGAAATGAACTCACTTAGTAAACATAAACGGAACTAAATGCCCCAAATGCAAAGCTTCAGATGATGGCCCACGTCCCGTATACAAATAAAAATTCTCTCCTCTCTCATACGCGTCCAGTATCTCACCAAAATCCCTGCTTGACACAAACCCATTTCACAAAATCACAAAAAATCGACCCAGAAACAAATTACAGAAAGAATCAACAAAAAAGACTTCTGGGTCGAACCGGTGGGCAAAAAAAAAACCACGGCGCAGAAACACGTGGGACGGGCGGCCGATGAGGCGTTGGACTCTGTCGATGAGGGAGATGTCGAGCCTTTGGCAGCCGAATTGGTCGATGAGTTTGTCGTAATCAATTTTGCCTTTTGAAGAGACCTGCCATGGGTTCACTACTTGATCTTGCTCTTGTTCTTCTACTTGAGTTTTTTCTTCATTCTTGTCCATGGAAATTGGATAGTGAATTGCTTTGGTTTAGTGCTAAGAGTTAGTGATGCCGAGAGTTGCAGTGAGAAGACGAAGCTTGGAGACTAGGGGATAGAAGATGAATCGGATTGTATTTATACTATGGAATTTTAGGTCTTTTCCAGGGGAAAAATTAAAGTTTAATTTAAGGGATTAACTGATTTAAGATAAAATAACAAAAATTCCCCTAATTAAGTATGGCCAGCAAGTAGAACCAGAATTGCAGGTAGAACTGGAGTCAGATCCGAAACCGACATCAGGTGGATAGGTTCTGGCTCTATTTTATTGGAATCGATATTGTGCGATTTCGGTTTTGATTCCTATATGTTTTGGAACCAAAACCGAAACCAGAACTTAAGAAAAAAACCTGAAATGGGTATCAACTTGGAACCACTTAGAACCCATTTGTGTTTTAGTTTTGATTGAGAAATTTTATATGAATTGTGATAAATTAATTAAATTAAAGTGTTGTTTAGAGATTAGAAGATTTATGAGTTACATTGAACACAAATAAATAAGTAATCAAAAGTTGAAAACTACTAAATGTAAGTTTTCTTAATTTGTTAGGGGTGTATTTGTAAATTTTTAAGGTATTTTTGTCATTTTTTAAACTAATAAAGGGTGATTGATTTTTTATAGGGTACTAGGTAATGTACCGGTTCCTTGAATTTAAGAACCAACGGGTTTCGGTTTCGATTCTTTTTTTTGATAATCTATACTAAATGGTTTTGGTTTCCTGAAAAATACAGGGTACCCGAAACTGCTCACCCTTACCTAAAATTTTAAAATAACAAAAATTTTACTTGTCGTTAAAATTTAAATATTAAAATAAAAGATGGAATAATAATTTGATAATATTTTTTAACTCATCCTCATTAAAGTTTATGTTATTTGGAAAATCTCAAGGAAATTTTATTAATATATAATACGGAAGGAGATTAATGTTGTTAATGATAAAGTTAATTTAAGAACTTTATCTTATTTTATTTTTCACGTTTCACTAATATGATTTTACAAAAGAATTTTTTCAATATAGCTGAAAAATCAAATAAATATATATTCTTTTAAAAGTAACATAAAGTAAATTATGTTTTGATAAACTTCCCTAATGCTTTTGATATATCATTTACATTAATTTTTTCTTTTTTTGGTGTATTTTTTATATATACTGAATATGTAATTTTAATGAAAAGCTAATCCAGTATGCTTAAAATCCCCCCAAATCATAACTTCTATCTTCCCTCAACTACAAACAATTTAAGATTAGAATTTTTATTTTGATGAGGTTTTATACAAAATTAATTTGTATATTGATCCACTATCAAAGTATGTGTATGCCAATTTTTTTAATTATTTTGTATAATCTAATGTGTGATTAACCTATAATTTATAACAAGATATCATCAATTACACATCAGCATTGTACAACATATATATATCAGGCTTAAGAGCTACATATTTTTATACAATTTTCAACATAACATTTTTCTTGTTTTTAATCATTGTTAGATAGTTTGATGGTAAAAAATCAAAAGGGGATCTAAGTTTATATGATGGCTCGAATTTGAGTCCCCATAATCATCTCGAGTTTAGGAGGAATAATCAAAATATGCATATATATGTCAGGCTTAAGAGCTACATATTTTTATGTAATTTTCGACATAACATTTCTCTTGTTTTTAATCATTATTAGGTAGTTTGATGGTAAAAAATAAAAAAAGAATCTAAGTTTATATGATCTCCATTGAATTTGAGTCCCCAATAGTCAGTCCAGTGTAGGAGGAATAATTGAAATGAGTAATGTTAGCCTTACTTACTTTTTTTACTCACTTTTATAAATATAAAACATAGTATATATACTATATATATATAATACGGGTACTATATATCATTTTTATATATAATACGGGTAACATATATCATTTTTACAAAGATGAGTAAAAGAAGCAGATAAAATTAGTATTTTTCAATTTAAATATATATATCCTGTTACGGACACCATGTTATCAAACAAAAAAAATAAAAATAAAAAATCAATCTGCAATTAATTAATGGTTGAGTGTGCATCGGAATTGTCAATTGTGTCATTGGTACATAGGTAAGGCATATTATATTGAATCTCAATCATTTCAAAGCGTCTTTATTCAATGACTCCAAATTTTGTAATAATTTATAAAAAAAAAAAAAAAAATTTGTTGAACTTGAGCCTATCTTGTTTATAACCTTCCTTTCCTCGTGACGATTCACATAATGTAACTCCTCTTTCAAAAACAAAATTCCTCCTATGTAGAATCATACATACTAAAGCAAATACATTTTTTTTCCTTTTTCTATCATTTAAAGATACATAGTCAAAAAATAAGAATCTAAATATTGGATGGACGCATAAAAAATAACATCAATTCAACTACTTTTGGATAGTCAAGTAGTTCGATAGAGATTCTTAATTGAATTACTTAAAAGGTCTTAAGTTCGAGTCTAACCTTGGCTGCTAATAGGGACAATCACTGGAATTCTTATCCGATTGATAGTTTTAACTTTTAAGGTCCTAAAAGATTAGTTAAAGTGTGCGTAAGCTGGTCTGCGCCTCTAGTCATCCAAGAAAAAAAAACATCAATTCTATAGCTTCGTTGGTTCACAATTGGGTGTTTTTGAGAAAAGTTAAAAAAAAGTTGAATTGGGTGGGTATTACGATGTAGGATTAACAAATTAATAAAATATCCCCTATGTTTGTTTATTTACAAAACACCCCCTATAATAAAACATTAAAAGTTAACAAAAAAACCCCCAACCCACCCTCAAATACGGACAGCCAGCCACCATGACCGGAGGATGGCCGGATTCGCCGTATCGGTGCATGACCGACTGGATTTTGCCGGTTGTGTGTCGATATGACCTTTTCCGGCCAGATCCACTGGCAAAGGCCAAATCTGGCCGTATTTGCTCGTCAACGACGGCCAACAAACGGTTGTCATTGATGGTCAACGACGACCGTTTGTTGGCCGTCGTTATTGACTGTTACGGCCAAAGATCTGGCGGTTAACGCTGGCCGGAAAAGGCTAGATCGGCGCACTACCAACCAGATTCAGCCGGTAGTGCGCCATCCTAACAGATTCCTTCAGTGGTGGCCGAAATCTGGTAAATGTGGATTGTTGAGATGTTTTTGTAATTTTAAAAAAAATATTTAGGGGTATTAAATTAAATTATCAAATTTAAGGGGTTTAAAAAAAATTGAATAATATTGAGAGTAGTATTCCCAAAAACCAGAGTTTTTGGGTATTTTACTGTTTAACTTTTTTGGGAATACTAAAAGTAGTATTCCCAATATGCAACCAAACGAAGCCTATCTTTCTAAGATTCCCCGAAGTAAGAATTTAAAAAAAAAAAAAAAAAAAAAACTAGGAAATTTTTTTAGTTTTTTTTTTTTAAATCCAGGTAATGTCTACAATGATGGAGACTCCATTTTTAGAGGAAATACTAAGCTATTTGTGATAGATTCTTCTCCATTCATGGATATTTCATCGTTCAAAACTTGAAGTTCTTGCTTGATTTCTACGCATCTTTGAGATCTTCTTAACCCTTCAAGCTCCAATGCCACATGCTTCATTGTAGGCCTCTTTTTCCCATTCAATCTCAAGCAACTCAATGCAAGCACTACAATAGTTTGGATATCTTCTTCACTTGCTTCTTTAGCTACTCTAGCATCTAAAATCTCCATCACTTTGTTCTCTTTTGCTAATGAAATGAAGTGTGAAACCACGTTTCTCTCTTCTTCATCTAAAGAGATCGGTTTTTTACCGGTTAACAGTTCTACAAGCACTACCCCGAAGCTGTACACATCACTTTTCTCTGTAAATTGACTTGATTGGAAGTACTCAGGATCCAAATACCCAAAAGTTCCTTGAACTGCTGTGGTTATATGAGTTTTGTCATTTGGATTAGACTTTGAAGTCCCAAAATCTGAAACTTTTGCGCTATACTTTTCATCCAGAAGTATGTTTGAAGATTTAATGTCTCGGTGAAAAATGGGGATTGAGGCTGTAGAATGCATATAAGCTAATGCACCTGCAACTTCGCACGCGATTTGAACTCGATGCTCCCATGAGAGTGAAGCTTCTTGTGCCTGTTGATGATTATGAATATGATGGGAAAGCGTTCCATTAGGGATGAACTCGTAGACGAGGACTGGTACCTCAGTCTCCAAGCAACAACCTAGAAGCTTCACGATGTTTCGATGATTGATTTGAGATAAAATGACAACTTCATTAATGAAATGCTGAATCTGGCTTTTATCAATTGCCTTTGCTCTTTTAACAGCAACTATGGTTCCATCAAGTAACATTCCTTTGTATACAGTGCCAAATCCTCCTTGACCGAGAAACCGACTCCGGTTGTAATTGTCTGTAGCAATTTGAAGCTCCTCTGCTGTAAATATTTTAGCATTTTCACTACTACCACTGGATGATAATCGTTGCTGCAGCAAGAAGCCACCATTTTGCTTAAACAATTTCTCTCTTTCCAATCTGTTTCTCCTTTTCTTTAGAAATTTGTATAAGTTGTAACCCAAAAGAAACATGCATAACAATCCCAAACCAATGCCAATACCTGAAAAAAATAAAAAGTTAAATTGTTTCGTAGGATGGTATTAAAAATCCCATCGTAAAAAGTCTATTTAACGATATCTTATACAATGGTAGTATTCTCCTAATGTATTAGTCATAAAATCTATTTATCATTTACAATTGATTAGCCCAACCGAATCAAACAAAAACGATGTCGATTCTGCAGGGTGAAAATGTAAGACTTTCAAACTTATTGGAAGTCAAATTTTTTATGGGGCGATCTGCGTAATTTGGAAACAATAAACAGTGAAAATGTTAAGAGGTTCTAATGAAATGCCTGCAATCCTAAGAAAAGTAAAATTATGACAAGCTCTCTCGCTTTCCTAAGAATATATGTTAACATAAGCTCTCTTGTTTGTCACAGAGAGTATTAACAAGATCAATCAATGCAATTTAATTCTTGTATTTTAAAGACTCAACAATGAAACTGATGAGCTTTAAAGGCAAAAAATTAAGAGAGCAATTACCTAACAGAGTAACCAATTTGACTGGAAATTTTTTGCCTTCAGTTTTACAATAACTGATACCGTCTAGACTTCCATCTGCTGGACAATAACAAAAGAATTTCTCTGGATTTTTAGAGCAACTTTCACTTTTCAATGGAATCAAAAGAGGAGTAAAGGGATAAATAAGGCTATCTTGCGACAATTTGTTAGCCTCTAGGATGCTTTTTTCATCAACCCCAAACAGATCTGCCATTGACCCAATAGTGTCACCCCATGTCACCATATAAGCCAGCAACGAGCTAACGCCATTGGCCGTCTGGTTCGCGCTCGGACAGGCGCATCGCAGCGGAACCGTCAGCTGCAAACCAGGCTCAAGACTCAGTTCATCATAATAATTCTGCCCCATGAGAGCCTGGCAAGTAGTGAGGCCTTGGTAAGTGTTATTGGCTATTGACAAATATGTCTCATTGCTTTTTATCGTATAAGGCGTGTTGTGCTGGTAAATGCTACCTGAACTACAGGAACAAGAAACAGGAATAATTACTAATTTCCCAGGCGGGATCGTGTCGTTATTCGACGATATGTTGTTGATCGAAGTGATACCAGAGGCTTCCGAGCCTAGAAGATAGGCAATCCTGATGGGGGAATCATAAGGTGGCTGTGAGCGAAATGTTATGAAGGATTGACATGAAGTTTCAAGACCATTGCAGAGATAGCCTTTTGATATAGAAGGGTTTTTTTGGCAGTCTAATTGTGTGTTGTTCAGGTAAGTTTGCTGGCAGTTTGAAGGATTGAAGAATGGAGATAGCAAGAGGAAGATTGAGATGAGGAAGCTCAAGGATGAATATGGCTCCATGGATTTGAGTCTTCTTGAACAGAGTAATTTGAAAAAAAAAAATAAAAAATCTTCCAAATTGTATCAATAATCAAATTGATGCGTCTCTATATGGTCTAACATAGGAAGGATAAATTCATTTGATAAGTGTTATGATTATATTTAGTTATTCTCTCTCGTGACTATATTCAATTTTAAAATTTTTGATGTAGGAAATTTGTCTAAAATTTTGTTTTTTAATAGATTTCTTATTATAAAAATGCTAGTCCAAAATTTTAAAAGGTATTTAAGATTTCACTCTCGTGTAGAATAATATATATATATATATTTTAAATATAAAACTTGAGATCCTCATAATGTGAAATTTTACTCCAAATAATAATTGAATTTTGTTTGCCTAACAATTGAATTTTGTTTGCCTAACTGTCAAGATTCAATGGACTAACATGTCTTCTTGTACTTATTTCACTATTACAGATCAGACCATCTTAAAAAAATACATAAAACATTAGTTTTTAATTCATATTTTCTCATCTTATTTCAAAAAAAGTCGTATAAAACGGCATGAAATCAAGAAACCCATCTCAGTATGTTTTGACAATGACTTTTTTGAGATTCGGTAATCCCAAATCCAACAATTAAGTAATGCAGTTTGATTTTATTGTATAATCTATGGTTTCTGAAGGTACACGCAATTGATTTCTGAATAGATTATATATGCCAGCCTCCAACCTTGACTAGGCTGAAACCAAGACAGATCATTTCAAAGTTCAAAGGTCAAACCACCTGCATGTGTAGTGACAGACGAAAGATATTGACTGGTTGGAGATAGTCAATCTCCAAGTAGATGAATAAAGGGAGCAGAGAAATTGAAGAAGGAATTTTTTTCTTTATTGGAGGCCTGTAATTACAATTACAATGAATTATATCCCTATCAAAACTAACTTTAATTATCTATAATTGAATACAGGTGATCCATTTGAGCTATGACTAACAAACTCAACTCACTTCTAACATTTTCCTTCTCTTCGAATTACATGAGACTAAACATAGTCTTCCAATGCTTTAGGCTTCTTACTTAGTCTTCTAGGCCGACTTTCCACAAGCCTGTTGACTCTATCATTCTCTTCCCCTTCAAGAACAACCTTGCCCTCATGGTTGAATTGCAGATATAAGCACTTGAACCACTCCAATGACTCCCATGATGTTTCTTCAAGGGGAAATCCTAACCATTGCACTAAAATCTCAACAATTGATTGAGAATTAACCTTTCGTACCAGGGATGCTACTACTGTTGTAGGTTCAATCACATGAAATGATAATGTAGTGACTAGAGGTAGATCAAGTACTTGCCCAATGGTTGGATTAGGACACTTTTTTAAGTTGGAAATATGAAAAACAAGATGCAACTTAGCTGTAGGAGGTAGAGACAACTTATATGCAACCTTACCACCTTTTTAATCACTTCAAATGGCCCTTAATAACGCTTATTGAGCTTAGAATAATGATGCCCTGCAAATGATGTTTGTCTATGAGGATGCAATTTTAGGTACACCCAATCGCCAACATTAAACTCCAAGTCTCTCCTGTGCTTATTGGCCTGCACTCTCATGGCTTCCTAAGCTTTATGCAAATTATCCTTCAGTTTAGACAAAGCCAAGTCCTTAGGTTGCATAAATGACTCGGCCACTTCACTATTTGATGACCCCAGAACATATGTTGGTAGGGTAGGTGGAGTTCTGCCATAAACAACTTTATATGGGGAAATTTTTGTAGAGGAATTGATGGTTGTGTTATAGCAAAGCTCAGCCCATGGTAAAAGAGGATACCATTCAATGGGTTGATGATGAACAAAAGCCCTTAAGTATTGCTCAAGACACCTGTTTAAGACCTCAGTTTGTGGATGATAGGCACTAGACATCAGCAAGGTGGTTCCATATAATGCGAATAACTCCTGCCAAAAAGAATTTGCAAATAATGGATCTCTATTAGAGATGATAATCTTGGAAAACACATGCAGTTTGCAGACTAAGATGGTGAATAGTTCAACAACTTTGGTGGCGGTAAAACCTTCTTGAGAGCTCTAAAGTGCCCATATATACTCAAACGATCCACTACCACCATAATAGCATAATAACCTTGTGAACTAGGCAATCCAGTAATAAAATCCATGCTGAGATCCTCCCAAATAGCAGTTGGGATTGGAAGGGGCTATAATAGACCTGTAGGAGAAACAATAGTATACTTTGTGCTTTGACACACATGACGGTTAGTGACAAATTCTTTAACATCCTTAGCTATACCATTCCAATAGAAATTAACAACAACTCTAGATAAATTCTTCTTCACTCCTAGATTATCAGCTCAGGTTGAAGAATGAAGTTCATTTAAGATGGCTTCTTGAGGGAAGATATTGGATTGAGGAGTAATTTATGTTTAAAGAACAACATGCAATCTTTAAATTCCATATGAGGATGAGAAACCATAGAGGAAGTCAAGTCCAAAATTATGGATTGATAGAATAGATCAATAGCAACTTTAGTTTTAAGATCAGCTAAGAATGAAAATATAGGTATTGAAATGTTCATAAAATGATAATCTTGCAAAGGTTCTAATATGGTAGCACACATGGTGAGTTGACCATTGTCAGAATCAATAATAGCATCTCTTGAAAGGGCATCAACAACTTTATTGTGTTTTCCTGGGTTATATAGAATTTAAAAGTAAAAACTTATTAACTTCTCCATATACCTCTGTTGATCAGGTGTTTGTATGACTTGTTTGAGCAAATCCCTTAGACTTTGGTGGTCAGTATGTACATAAAAATATGTATTAAGTAGTTATCGACACCATTTCAACACCGACTTTGTTATTGCAAAAATTTCTCTGACATATGTTGAGGATTTTTGTAAGATAGGACTCATTCTCTTGCTAAAATATGTAATATGGTGATTTTCTTGTAAAAGGACAGTACCAATTCCCATCCCTGAGGCATTGGTTTGAATGACAAAAGTCTTTTTGAATTTTGATAGAGCTAATACAGGAGCTTGAATTAGTAAAGACTTTAATTTTTCAAAAGCGCATTTAGCCTTATATGTCCATAGGAAGTTATCCTTCTTTAGAAGATTGGTCAAAGGTGTTGCAATTGAAGCATAATTTGGGACAAATTTTCTATAATATCCAGTGAGACCCAAAAATGATTTCAGTTGCTTCAGTCCTTTAGGTAAAAGACAATTGAGTATGGCTTCAATTTTGTGAAAATCAGGTTTTACTCCTAAAGCAGTCACTATATGACCTAGATACTCAATTTGATCATTACCAAAACTACATTTGCTTATCTTAGCAAAGAAAGAATTATTTTTAAGGCAAGTTAAAACCATATGTAAATGCTCTAAATGATCAAATTCATTTTTGCTGTAAACCAAAATATCATCAAAAAGACAATCACAAACTTTCTCAGATATGGTTTAAAAAGCGAATTCATGGTTGATTGAAAAGTTGTTGGTGCATTTGTAAGACTAAATGGCATCACAACAAATTTTTAGTGTCCATCGTGTGTCCTAAAAAATAGTTTTATGGACATCATTGGGGTTCACATGATTTTGGTGATAACCAACCCTTAAATCAAGTTTAGAAACACATTAGCTCTTTGGAGTTCATCTAATAACTCATCAACAGGGAGTATTGGGAATTTATCTTTTACTGTAGCTTGGTTTAAAGCCCTATAATGCGCACAAAAGCGCCAAGTCACATCCTTTTTCTTAACTAGAAGAATTGGAGATGAATATGAACTCTAACTTGGCCTAATTATACCAGTGCTTAACATTTCTGAAACCAGTTTTTCAATCTCAATTAGAATTCAAATCCCTCAACAGCTAGTGTTGCTAGATTGGAAGTTCCAGTTGCGACTTTAAGTCATGATTTTGGAGTTCACAATGAATTTCAATATCAACAGATAACATAGATCGCAAATCAGACTCAACATATAGCAGAATTACAGGAAACTCTTCAGGATGCTGCCAAAAGAATGATGACATTTGAAGTGAGATTTAGACTACAAGAACCGCCCGTTCATCCTCAAGAGCATCAATTTCAGAATTTGATTCATGTACAACAAGAGACCCAACCACAGATGCAATCAATCAGGGTGAAGGTTCCAAGATTCAATAAGGAAAGTGCTTCAGGATGGTTGATGAAAATTTAGAATTTCTTTGACTTTCACCACACTCTACTACATCAAAGATTGTCTATTGCTTCTTTTCATTTAGAAGAAAAGACATTAGAGCATTATTAGTGGTTGCATAAAAATCATCTACTGAGGGATTGGCAAGATTTTATGACATAAATTGAGCACAGATTTGGGGATTCTCAATATGAAGATGCTTTTGGCAAATTGACCAAGCTAACATAGACTGGGACAGTATGGGAATATTGTAGTCAGTTTGAGAAGCTAGCTACAAAAGTGGAAGGTGTATTAGAAAGAGCCTTGATTAGTCGCTAGGTGGTTGGATTGAAAACACACATAAAGACTGAGGTACAGATCCAAGTTCCTTATTCCTTGGTCCAAGTTATGCATTTGCCTAAGATGCAAGAGAAGAAGTTTGAAGAATAGAGAGTCGGCGTACAAATCTTGGAGTGAGAAATCTCAGTTTAAATCAGTAATACTTTTGGGAATAGAATTTTTCCATCAAGGTAACCCCTATTGATGCTTCAAAAACCTCTTATTTTAATATCAAGAGACTAACTCCAAGTGAGATTTTAGTCAAAAGAGAAAAAGGGCTTTGCTATAATTGTGATGAAAAATTTCACAAGGGTCATAGATGCAAGGGTACTTACAATGTTTTTGTTGTTATTAACTGATGAGGAAGATGAAGACTCTGTGCCTATGGAGGAAGAAATCATCACCGAGGTATTAGCCATTACAGAGGAGGTTATTGATATTCCAACCATTAGTCTACACACATTGGCTGGTCAACACTGTCCAAGAACACTAAGAATGATTGGGGTTATACAGGGCATGGATGTACAAGTCTTGATCGATGGTGAAAGTACTCATA